TAATGCATCGCTGTCGATGTCCCACCACTTGCATCTCAAATCTGGGATAACGCGCTTTCATTCATCATAAAGGGAGTATGGAGTACCTACTGCAAATGTTGTGTTGAATTCGCATTAGCTAAACGGATTCGCTCATTGAGTCATATTGAAACTGTTGCTCCTTTTTCAATCTACTTTAGTATTTATACAAAAGCCACTGTGCTAATATAAATTCCTAAAGCGTTTTATTTGATTTACTAGAGATTGAGTTGTGTTTACGTTTGCAATGAAGCCGTAGGGCCCCGGGCGGCGCCCTGCTCGCTTGCCGTCCGGCGCAGTCCCTAGGGTGGTCACAGATAACAAATATAAACACCAAGTGTTTGTCATTGATTTTCTGCTAAATTAATTTGATAGTATTACATTTCCTGCGCGAGGTTGCTGTAATACAATCATGTATTTATCATTCCTCCCTCTGGCTTCCATCGGACTTTCGATTACACATTCGGTGTAGGTTTAGTAAGGAGATTTTCTTAATGTTTGGTACAATGGGAATATAGGTTTTAATCATGTTTAATGGAAAAACTATTTAAGATAATTATCGGAAGTTCTTTATTTTGTCTCCAGGTAGCCTTAAAACGGCAGCAAGCTGCAGAGGATAAGATAGCTCTGCATTTGGCTTCGGTAGAAAGTGGAACAGCATTGGAAGCTTTGCCTCCAGGTCGGATATATGGAATGAGAGTTACTGGACCGTGCCCCAGCCCTGGGCCGGAGCCTGACTCTGTTGCTGATGACCATACAGTAAGAAATACAGCTTCTAAGATTCTTCAGGAGACTTGGTTCCCTTTGAAAATTTATTTTCAACACAAACACTTTTAATAATATTACATTTTGTCGTACAGCCAATCCATATCGATAGTGAGACAAGCGATTCTTTGCCCGATTGCTGCACTGTTTCACCTGATTCTGCTGGCAATTCCTCAGCTTCCACGTCGGTGCGGTACGTATTAGTCTTCCAATTTAAAGACCATCTTTTCAAATTAGTATCATACAGGTCCATAATCACGATTACTTATATTAGGTATTATAGACAACCGGGGTTGCGCGTCAAGCGAAATATAGTACCGCGGCCTCGGCCTGAAGCAGGAGTAGGAATGGGGGGTTTTTGGTCAGCAAGAATCTAAGAATCTGACACTCCCCCCCCGCCATACTCTGGAGAGAAGTCATTTGAAGAACCTGTTATAGACGAGTTTGGTTCTTTATAATACTTGTAACATATAAGCAGTTGCTTATTGTAGATTACATGGGTTTCTGAAAAGACGAGGATATATTTGAATTTAACGTAGTGTTTAAAGTTCGAATAATAATTATGATTTTCTTTCACAGGCCTGGTGAAGAAGGGTCCGAAAGTGAGAATGCGGTAAGCACAGCAGGCCTAGAGATGTTGCGCAAATTGTTCCCGGGCAAGAAGCGCTCCGTGCTAGAACTAGTGCTACGACGGTGCAACCACGACTTGCTACGAGCTGTTGAACACTTCAATGCTACGCGTGTAAGTATGATAAATAAAAACAATTTATTATAGCTTATTAGGTATTATAAATATATTTTTTGTATTTTATACTATTGTGCAAAATCATTAACGTACCTATAGATTTTAAGATTGCATTGTTTAAATTTTATTTAGATTCCATTGTGCATTTTTTTTATTAAAATGCTAGTCTACCTAAGTGTCAGAGTTTTAACTAAAGTTTAAACTAAAATATCCTTTGTCACTTTTAATTTAATTTTTATGGTTATTTTAAAACAGATGCGAAACCTTAGATAATATAGGTAAACTCCTATCAAATACCGACATTTAATATTTCAATTATTCCATGGATCGATGGACACATCTCATTAATATTTTTCTACATATCTGAATCTTTTAACAGGATCAACGAGACAAGATACCAGGAATCAGCACCAGCAGCGGGTACGAGGCGTCGGTGTCAAGTTCTGAAGAGGTCGAATCAAGGTGGTCAGCGTTCCGTCCAGTGGGACCTCGAGCTCCGATACTACCGGCGCTAGTTATGGGGAGAGTGTGCGGCTCTGATTGGTTAATACCAATGCCAGCTTTACCTGCACTCTCAGGGCCACTTTTACTGCCCTTACAGCATCCACACGCACCACCAGCGCCCTGCAACCCATGCTCCCCAGATTGTAGGCAGTGTAATCATCATTAGGTTCTATAGGGAACATGATAATTTTCTTTAGGCCGTTCGGTGCACTAATAAAAAAGTATTGGGCACGTGCATACTTTAGCCTTAGCCTGTCTAAGAAAACACTTCTTTTGTCGATGACTTGAAGCTACTTTAAATCCTTACTACGTCGCTCCAGTAGTTTTTAATAGGATTGTACCATTGTGTATCTTTAGCATTACCTACTTAACATATTTTATTATTTCCAAACCAAATTATGCTGCCATAATATCAAATGCCAAAGAATTTATATTTAAGCTTGTATTATTTTCATTCATAAAGCGCTGTTGTTATTTATTATTATTAAATCGTATCTTTAATCTTTTAACTTTTGTTTTATTCATATCATTTGAACGAGTTAAGCACAAACAGAAACTTCCCTATGCAGGAATTTAAATGACATAATAATGCGTTTATTGTCGACAAGAAGGACTAAGATGTTGGTAGTTTTGTCCATTAGGTATAATTTTATTCGTCATTTTTATTGATACCCTGATGAGGATTTTTTATAAAAAATTGGTTCAGTGTCCTCCGCTATCCAACTGGTTGTTTATAAATAATACATTAGGTACCATTTCGAGATGAGATAACCAATGTATGCACCTTAATCTACTACCCATTAAATATTATCATGTGACCTAGGCTAATTTTCTAAAATATGTACCTACAGAAAAAAAAAAATCGAAGATATTGTTCTTGACACTTTCTCCTGAGATCGTACGGACGAGAAAGTTTGTCGAGTCTGTAAGTTTGCAAGTGGTATTAAGTAAATCAAATAACAGATATGGGACTGTGGGACACTCCTGTCTCGTGTCTCTTCCCTGGGGCAATTTGGTCGTCACTGATAAACGCGTGACCATTTAACAAACGAAGACAGATCAGAAAACAAATAAGAACAGATGTTAGGTCCTTTTATTGTTTTGGAGCAATTTTTTGGGGAAGAAATTTAACCTTGAATTTCTTATTTATAAATTCCACGAAGTTACGAAGACCCTCAAAAGGATTTCAGGGTTTCGTAGCCAAATGACAAAATATGGAACACGTATAGATTAGTCATACCTGTCTGTGTCTGCCTGTTCGACCTTACTTTTGCATCAATACTTACTTCCCTTACCATCCTCATGAAATCGATGGCTGACTGGCAACAATTGTGACTTTTTCAGAAAATTTTCTGCGTCGCGCAGCAAAAGTATGAAACGTATTACTGTCAGCGGCATTCCCGAATCGATACGACTTATAAGAAAAATAGCATTCTCCTTCTTACAAGGTCGGCACCCATGTCTCCTTAGGGATTGCGGGTTTCAGATGAACCGTCTAAAACAGCGCATTTGCTCTCTGTTTCCGTAACAATCTGTTAGAACATTACTGTAAAAACTTTTTTACAGTAAAAACTTTTTTACAGTAATGTTCTAACAGATTGTTAGGTAGAATAAGTATCCTTTGGAGCGACACTAAAAACAAATTCATTAATCCCATACGTAAACGCTAGTAAGAAATGATACGCTATCTATTGAAAAGTTATCAAAATGATATTGAAATTGCATTTTTTTACAGATTGAACTAAAAAAATATATAAATATTGCACATAACTATACTAAATTAATTCCTCCAAAATTGGTTTAAAAGAGATCTTGTCATTAGTTTTTTTAATACGCCATAGGTCGTATAATTATGTACGATTCTCATTTCTTTATATTTTCCAGGAAAAAGTGCCAAAAGCTTAGTTAGTAGAGTAGGTATTGGACAATAATTTCGTGCGTTTATTGTAGTTTGTATGTTTGTAAGTTTGTATGTAATGGGGTACCTAATCTTTGGATTGGACTCGTCGGATTTACAAAATTCTTTCACTGATAGATATAGCTACAATGTTCCTGAGTGCTATTGGCTATAAAATATCACGCTACGATTAAAAGGAGCCGAGCAGCGGGTGAAACCGCGGCAAAGTAGCTAGTATTAGATATAGAGGTAAAATTTTTAAGTTTGTATGTAGGAGGTAATCTTTGGAACCGCTGGTCGGATTGCCAAAATTCATTCACTGATAGATAGCTACAATGTTCCTGAATGCTATTGGCTATAAAATATCACGCTACGATTAAAAGGAGCTGAGCAGCGGGTGAAACCGCGACAAAGTAGCTAGTATTAGATATAGAGGTAAAATTTTTAAGTTTGTATGTAGGAGGTAATCTTTGGAACCGCTCTGGTCGGATTGCGAAAATTCATTCACTGATAGATAGCTACAATAAATAAATAATAATAAATATGATATAAAACATCACGCTACGATAAAAATTGAGCCTTGAGTCTTTTTAATAAAGAAATGATGATAGAATCAGCATACCTACTTATCTATATGCGTGCATCTTGGCAACGCCATGCTTCAAGATAATATTATGTAGGTACTGTGAGTATGGGTCGTTTAGTTATTTTACCCTCTCCTTTTACAGGTGGTCCACGCTACCATACACTAACGTACCTAAAAGAATAATAACATTCATAAAATAGTGGAGAAATTTAGTATAAGCATTGCACCTGTGGGAAGCCGGGGTGGGTCATTGGTATAATAATATGTGGATTTATAAAATATCAAGAAGAAGAATTGCATTTAGTCAGATAAGGTAATACATCAATTGGTTAAAAATATCAAAAAAGTTATGAAAAAAGAATAATACCTACATTTTTAAACTTAAGTTGACGTTTCTGTAAGAATAATTAAAATTCTAGTTGATAGGTACTGTTACAAAGGTCAAGTCGAGCAGGCAGCGACAGATATTAACATACAATGAAATCCGTCGCTCATTCGCTCCACAGATAAAAAAACTGCTGCAAAGTTAGTGCCAGGAGGGAAAAGGAACATTTTGTTACCAATATGTTACAATACGTTGTATTAGTGTTTGTATTCTTGAATATAGTTTGTGACATTAATTATTTGATAAGAACTTTAATCTCTGTTTTGACTGGAAGGCTGTATCAAAGGAAATATTCTTTGGATGAAACTACAACTATATACGGTGAGTGGAAACGTGCATACATTTTCTTACTTGGGTACCTAATGTTGTTAGGTACTTAATCGTGCTATATATTGGTAAAATTCAGTGCCTGGAACTCCAACTAATAATTATTAAACACTATTTACACTGTCCATGTTTGTGATTCTATTTTTGTTTTTAATTTGGATATTTTTAATGCGTCAAGGATAGACATTTGGTTGATTTTTCTCGTAGTATAATAATTTTAATTTAATTTACTGACGTAAACTGAAGACAAAATTGTATGCGTTATTATTATTTTTTTCACGTTTCCAGGCATTTGCACGTTTCAAGACTGTGATATTAACTTCAGAAATATTAGAATAGCCAGGCTACTCCGCGATCTTGACTTCGCGAGGTATCACTTTTATGAGAGGACTGGAGTCTACCAGAGGAGCAGAGAGCTCAAAATCAAATCGTTGCAAGGGTGCACACTTACTGTAACTGATGATCCAGTGCCTTTGTTTGCGCCTTATAAAATTAATACCAAGGTGACAGAGTACCTACATCGTTACGATGACCTAATTTGTGCATGCATACGTAATTATTCGAGCGAATTGTCAATCAATGAATAAGTACTTTCCCACCTTTCGTTTCTTAAAATTAGTTTTATTTAGAAGTCAATTGCAAATTTATATTGTAAATACTACATATTAATGCAGTAAGTTATGTCCCTAAGGTTGTTGGGCTGGTATAATCGCTTTGCGATTAAAACAGTTTTATTCGAATAAAGATAAAGATGAATACCAATACCTATATACCTACCCACTTATTTATAAAATTTATATTTATAATAATGTATATAGGATGTTTTTTATTTGCAGCTCGTCTACTGGGATGATCGTTCTTTATTCTTGGAGCATGAAGTGATTACCTTACGCGACGGAAAAGTTCGCTCATTACTGTTATCGCGACAACACGCGATAGGTGAAAATGGAGACTCAACAGAAGCGTTACTTGCCAACTTACCCGGTTCAGAACATCGGCCATCATGTCCAGAGTACATTGAACACTGGCTGGAAAGCATGCGAATAAGTAGCGCAAAATTGAAAAAGGATCGTTAAATTATTGAAAGAAAAGACATCCTTTAAATAAATAAATAAATAAATAAAATATAGTAATAGTTCATGTTAGTATATCTTTTTTTATTATCTAAGTGTTCAGTTCATTTAACCTATCACCTATGGCCTATTTTTAATGGAAGTGTTCGCAAAAAAATCATCCATGGCTTTCGAAAAACGACACACAATATATGATATAATTGGTGTACAATGAGTGGAGCATGTATGTATTGACCTCTTCTCATTCCTTCTGGGAGTAATCTAAAGAGTGAACATTTTTATTTTTTTCCTTCACCGTAGGTTTTTATTTTGTGCCGTGGTTGTGATTACAAACATAAAAATTAACATGCACACTTCACACCCAGACTGGAAACAATTTGCAGACCACACAAAGAGTTGTTTCCTGTAGAAATCCAACCTGCGACGATTTGCACAGCAGCAGTATGCCCAGCCTATGCGGTAAATCGTGCAGTCTTGTTTATTTCATATGTCATTAAGAGTTAATTTAATATTTATGTACCTAACGATATACTAGAATAGGTAGGTACTGTTGCATACTCTTATTGCGATATTAAAATTGCATTAGCCAGCATAAACTGGTTCCACTTCACAAGTACTTAGGCAGCAAAAGTCCCTAATGGTTGGCATGGTTAATGGTTACCTAAGCATATTAGATAATAGCAGTCATAATGTAAGTAAGTAGTTGGACAATTCTTAAATATGTTTTCCGTGTAATCTTTGTATGGAGGCACATAGTAGTGATAATGATTCCTAAGTGTTTGTTTTAACTTGCTGTTTTGTTTATTTTCATTCCTAATTGGAGCTTTGACTATGAGTTCCACATGCAGTCATGGTATGTGATAATTTTGGAGATCTTACTTTAGACCATCGAAGGGCGAAAAGTGTTGCACTTTTCGCCCTTCGATGGTCTAAAGTACGCTACAATTACAAGTATTTATGTTATCTATTAGTATGTTGGACAAACTGCAATTGACTGCAACTATCTTCACGTCGCTCGTCGCTCCGTTGCAGTGGTCAGTGACTCGGTATTACACGTTCTTGTACTTGAACTTGTATACCTGTACCACTTTACAAACGACGTGCAACTGTCCAATAACCACAATTCAGCACTATCCAAAGACATGCCATCTCTCTCCCACCTCAGTAGTTAATAACTAGTTTAACAGGGACAGCAGAACTTAAAACATTGCTATCTTTGTCATATTAACGTTATGTTGCGGTTGGAATGTTTATAAGAATACATAATACTTTTAAAACTTTTATATTACGTTGTCTACCAAAGCGAACTTAGTGTTGTTTGAGCTGTTAGTGGAGACCTACGGTAATATTTTTAACATACATTACCGTAGAAATTAGGCATTTTAAATTTCAGTTATCAATAACAACAGCAATGTATTGTATAATAGTGACTTTAATAGCTCTTGCTTACGTCTTCTGGGATGTCAACTACTTTTTAAGGATTGCTTTCACAATTGGAATCGGAAGACTGTTCCAAAAGAAATGCGGTGTTAATGATACGACCACTATTTACGGTAAGTCAGTGTTTTCGTTAATTATGCGTAGGTATATTAATGAATGCATCACCTGGGAACGTGATTCAAATATTGATGATCATTTCATGTATGTATTTTTGATGTCCAAGTACATTTTATACATTATATCCTATATTCATTTTAATGATGAATATGTAGGTAAGTCTTTAGGTAGTACTTACTAAAGTAAGTTTCCATTACGTAGATACCCAATTAGGTAAGTATGTAAATAATAAAGTAAGTACATATAAATTTTAATCGTATTTACTTATGTACGGATTGTTTTTACTAAGTTAGGTAGGTAGGTACAAAAAGTGTTACCTGCCTGTAGGTACATATGTATGTAGGTATATAGGTCTTCGAGGTTTCCCAAATATATTTATACCTCATGAAAATATTCATTGAATTTGGGTAAGCAACAAATATAATTAATGTAAATGTAAACATTAAGCCACAGTAAATAATGTCATAAATAATTATGTAACTCGTGAAATATAACCAACACTTTGCCAATTTGTAGTAACCGTAACTATTAAATAGCGAATTAAACAGATAATATTTATATGTCAATAAAATCAGATGTTTTTACAACTGTTATCGAAACATAAGGTTTTTATACAAGATACTTTGCTTTTGCCCGCGACTTTGTTCACGTGGAACAATGCCTTCCTGCAGATTTTCGGTTTAAAAACTATTCCATGTCTTTTCTCAAGTTCCAAACTACATTTGTCTGTACCAAACTTCACACAAATAGGTTCAGTAGTTTAGGCGTGAAGAAAAGACAGACCGACAGAGTTACTTTCGCATTTATTATATTATACATTACAAAAAAAATAGGTTTTAACATCTGTTGTTATAGATAGTAATCGAAGGCTTTAAAAGCAAACTAAATTTGAAAACAATAACCGCTCATGTTTGTTCTATGACTCTTGTGAGATAGATTATATTATACTTACCTACTTTTTTTTAAATCTTTATTTTATTAAAAGGGCTTTTTTCCAATATTATACTTACTTAACTAATGTTTGTCTTTATGGACCCCCAAGCGTAACTTGAAACTAGTCGAGTTCGAGTTAAACTTAATCGGAGATTTACAAAAATCAATAACAAAATAAGGTCCTTTATAATATTTAATGTTTTAACTATTTTTTTAAAAGAATATCAATACCTATCTTTTTATTTTTTCCTTTAAATTCTTATTAAACAGTTTTTGATGTACGTAACAATGTATTATGTTTTTTTTTTTTCGTTTATTAAACAACCACATTGATACAATCATATTAACCTGTATATACATACCATATATAAGGCAATACCATATGTAAGGTCCATCAGTATTATTAATTATTATGGTAACCACTGCGTGCCGTCGGATACCGGCTGCACAATCCATGTTATGGAAAAGTAAAAGCCGTCGATCATAGATCCTAGGCGACCACATGCATTTATTTTAACTATCCTTTTAATACGATTTTATGAAAAAACTCTACTTCACTACATAGTATAAAAAAACAAAATCACTTTCTCTGTCCCTATAACCCTATGTACGTTTAAATCTTTTAAACTACGCAAATGATTTAGATGCGGCTCTTTTAATGGAAAAAGTGATTGTAGAGAAACATTTATAGGTATAATAAATAAAAACCATTAAATAGTGGAGTCATTTAGTATTAATATTGCATTCGTGCCTATAAAAGAGAACAGGCATTTACAGCGTGATTAATTTGTTCATATCCACTTCTTGAAATGAGATTCATCCTGTGAAATACTTCTGTACCCATTTAAGACCATTTCAGCTTGGAAAAGTCATCAAACATTATCTAAGTATATTATAATACCTATATACTTATGTTTATCTTTATATCATTCCAGGTTTCTGCACAACACAAGATGTAGATATCTTCCTGAGACACATGAACAATGCTCGCTATGTACGAGAGTTGGACTTTGCGAGATTCCATTTCTACGACCGCACTGGCATTTACGCTAACATCAAGGCAGTCGATGGTCACGCACTGCAGGGTGCGTCTAGCATCCGTTACAGGAGAACCATCCCTATTTTTAGTGCTTATAAGGTCGAAACTAAGGTGAGTTTGTCTCCGCTACTACCATAATCGAAATGTGACTTTTTCATTACTATTATTCACTAGTGACTAATAGTTTTTTTTTATGTTATTGGTTGAGTTACGCATTCACTTGCGCTAAAATGCTAAAAGCCCAAAATAACCTAATTTTTAGTCTATGGCTGATGGGCGCGCATGGGTAATCTGAAAATTATTATTGTGTTCAAAAAGGCCGTATGATACACTGATGACTACCGTCCTGGACTCCTTAAGACTCAATACGCCGCAGCAGTAATCACCAATATTACGCACTTGTATCTTGTATCATTAAGCATAGTAATATTACCTACAGTCAACCTATTTGGAGATATCTGTCTTTCTCTTAATTAACTGGTTATTTACACCATTTTACAAAGGGTTCCAAAATCCAACCAAAAAGTAAATGTAAATGATACAATTATACACATAAATGATACAATTAAAATTCAAAAAGCCAACAACAGCAACAATAATTATAGAAGAACATAATATAATATTTCTGCAAACAATGCATGCAATGAGAATAATTAAGATTTAATTATATTTTTGATTTGAAAAATTAAATGATAATAATTCAGGAAAAGAGAAACATTTATTTTTTTATACCTCGTTCGAAGCACATGTATTTGAAAAAAGATTAGCTAGTTTTAGTGAATTATTAAAAATATGTATATTTTTTTAAATGATTAGGTGAATAAATCAGAATTATTATTTCAGCTGGCTTACTGGGAAGACAAAACGTTGTTCATTGAACAAAAGTTCATCACTTTGAGCGATGGCTTCGTGCGTGCTGTAGTCATGTCACGGCAGAACCTCATCAATGTAGACGCTGACACACTGTTCCGAGGGATCCCTGGAGCTGACCAGAAACCCGAGTGCCCCGAGGAAATCAAACATTGGCTCCAAGCCATCGAAATCTCCAGCGCTAAACTCAGAAAGAAGGATTAGTGCTACTATATTATCTTGTTATTAGTTTGACACTATTTTTATGAATGTTTGTTTTACTTATAAATGTGTAAATGCAAAAATAAAGGTTGTGGTTCCTTAAACATTTTTTATTCCATAAAAAACTTTTCGATTAAACAGATGTTGAATAACTCAAACAAAACAACACAGATGTATCGTATTACGCATCAATGCAGCACTCTGGCGCTTGTCACCGCACCGGCTAATGTTACTGTTTAAACAACCTGAACATTATGGACATAAAATCAAAGATAAACGCAATGAATTTTATGCCTTCTCCCAAAAATATAAGATTCAAAATATATTAGCTAGGAACCACACTTCAACTCTACCCCAGAGCTCATATTTAATTTGTTATTCTTTTGGGAAATCGTACACACATTAGAGTAGGTAAGGCAAATTAACAAGAACTTTTTAAGAAAAAATACTTTTTATAGGGAGTTACATGTTTCAGTAGGTAACTTTCTGTTGTTCTGTTATTAGTAACTCTATGTTTCTTATATCTTATTTTTTTGTTAATAAAATTAATAATAGATATACTTAGAATATATTATCCTTGGAGAATTTCATAAAACTATGAATAATATAACCATCTCATTATCATTATCATATCATTAATTGCATACTACGCGCTACGCTTCGTAGCACCGTAGCATTTTTATAATAATTTTCTTCACGCATAATAATCAAGTACAGATTGATCTATTTCATGCTTGCTACAAAATGTAATTAGAAACTAAATTATAATGTAAAAGTTTCATGTAAATTATTGTTAGAAAATATATTGGTTTGTTTTTGGTTGCGGTGCTGGTGTGATTCGTATTATTTGACGCCGAGTCGGTGCGTGTGAAGTAGTCAGTTTTTTCGGGAGTTCCTTAATTAGCCGACGGCGGCAAGGAAGCTCCCGACCACACACATTTTATAGACCGACTAAACAATCTTCATACATCAGTAGTAAAAGAAAAATTACCTTGAAATAGAAATCAATAGCTCTATGTACATATTTTTATTTGCTTGTTTTAACAGTAAACAAAATTGCATGCTCGGTATTTACTGAATTTTTAATAGAAACTCCTGAACTTAGTTCCTTGATATTGGTAGCTATGTTAAGCCTGCGGGTATACGTGTTTTATTAAAACTTTAACAGAAGGTAGTAAATTATACAACCAGGAAAATGTTTAAAATGATGGCACTACTTACTTAAACAGATTTTTAAATTTTTTCTTCAATGTGATCAAGTATCAAGAAATGTGGTGTGGTCTAAATAAAGGTGGCGCTAACCGCGTGTGTCTTGTCGCACAACAATAACAAAATATCCATTAGCTTTAGTGGTTTCTGTGCAGTGCAGCCGACTCATAACACAACCATCTACATATTTTATTTTGTTTAATGTGCATACCATTTATTAGCCCACGTTATACCTCAACCAATGTTGACACTGTGTTATTAAAAGCTTCAAGTACTTATTTCGTAATGAAACCTCTTTGTTACGAACACATTTAAGTAGGTACTATAAATTTCCCTTGAAACTCTTTATGGTAGTAAATTATGGTAAATAAAACTGATGTTTGTAAAATATAGTAGGGGTAAAACAAAAGGCTCTTTTCGAATATTAAAGTGATCGATTTCAAAGATAAATATGATTTAACTTCTTTTTATGTACTTGTAACATTTATTAAAAATCGACGAAGGTTCTGCATAACGGAAATTCTTTTAATATTATTATTATTTTTGGTGTTTAATTAATTGTCGAGTCCTTGTTAGTATGATTTTCGAGAATTAATCTGGTTCAACTCTGAGATTAAGTATCGTACAATACAAGGATTAAATCCAAGTCGAGATTGGTTTAAAGTTTTGATTCAATTTGTTTTATTATGACGGTCGAGTCTGAAAAGAATCGAAGTTTGGAAGACGTTCCAGGTGAAGTTTGTGGTACATAGTGATATTGTGTATCATCAGGCAAAGAAAATAAATTTTTAATTTTAAGGATGCTTTATTTAGGCTGTGTCTTACAACTTTAAATTATTAAAACATCAATTAAAGCAATTAATTCATAGATTTCATATTCCGTTTTGCGAATATTGTAATCGATATTGAATTTCTATCAAATTGGTTTTCAACGAATCCTAAAATATTTAAGTAAGTTAGAAGGCTACAATTCAATACGCAAAGAACTGTAGCGTCATTCAAACTTGGTTCGCTATCGAAGATGTTAGTCCCACCAATGTCCTTTGCCTTAGAACTTCTTCTAAACACAATTTTAACTCAATATTTGGAATCATCATACTGCGTCACAATATTTTCAGATAAACCTCTATCATTTCTTTTCTCCAAAAGTTTCATATATTTGACACCGGATGAAGAAAATTTAGTGGAACAGATATACAATGTATCAGAAACGGGATGTTCTGACTACATAATTCGCATGAGGGAGCCTCAGAACTTTATGACGGCCTTCGAACACGTTGTCCATATTGGAAATGTAAGAAGGAGTGACAGAAAAGTTATTATCCTGCCTTTTAACGAGGAATACAATGAATACAGTGACGAAAATCTACCGTCTTTGATATTTTCTATGAAAGGAAGCGAATATCTTGCAAACATGTTAATGGTTGTGAACCATAAAAGTAATGGCTCGGATTGCAAGGAATTCGATTTGATAACTCATCAGTTCGTTGGTCCTGATGTGGAAAGCAATCTCCCTAAATATTTGGATCGTTGGAATTCCTGTTCACAGCAGTTTGAAAATGATGCAAACTTGTTCCCTCATGATATGACTAATTTATTTGGGAAGACTTTGAGAGTTGCGTGCTTTACATACAAGCCTTATGCACTGCTAGACATAGATACAGCTATTGAACCTTTGGGTAGAGATGGTGTGGAAATAAGAATCGTAGACGAATTTTGCAGGTGAGATATCATAGAGAAGATACTGGCATAGTAAGCAAACAGCACCGCCCGTGAACGCTCGTAATGCTAAAGGAGTTATTACAAGTGCTGAGCCGGCGTGTTGTAAGTTATTATAGAATTTGAGGACTCCGGTAACCTTACTGACAAGGCGAAACATACCGTAACTGTTGCTTCACTCCGGTTTTCTGTAAGGCCGTGGTATCACTCCGGTTGATCCTGCATTCGTGCCGAAGCATGGCTGTGCCAAACTAAACACTTTTTATTAAATGTTAGGGAAAATATTTAGTTTTTGACTCGACGAGCGCTCGGCTGCGAAATCTCGCAGCCGAGCGCTCGTCGAGTCAACATCTCCTGAGGATGCCCTGTGGAGGGGCGAAACACGTGTCGAGTATAGGTTTGATTGCGTGGCATGTTTTTCCGTTTTGTGTATGTGTGCATATGCATGTGGGCGGGAGGGTGGGACCCTTGCTGCATGTGCATATGCATGATTGCATAGGAGTGGGATTGCATCCTGCAACAAGCCTGGATTTTTGTCGCGGAATTAAAACTAAATATTTTCCCTAACATTTAATGTCATGGATTTCCGCAAAGTAACGCCTGATTCTATAAATTAAACACTTTTTATTCGAGCTTTTTGAATGCAGGTGGGTAAATTGCACAGTAGAAGTAGTCAGAGAAGATGTGGATCAGTGGGGAGAGATTTATAAAAATGAATCCGGTGGCATTGGAGTTATTGGAAGTGTTGTAGAAGATCGTGCGGATTTAGGAATTAGTAAGTAGCCAACAGTTTATAAGAGAGAGATACTTGATAAAGTGGAAATAGGACTGACGCTTTGAGGAAGTCCTGGACGGCACCATGCCTGAGCGTCTGCTACTCAGAGGTATCAACGTCTTCCAAAAGATTACGTTCATATATGGTTTAATATAAGTAGACTGGTGTATGATTGGAAATGATTACGAAAAAGCTAAATTAATTTGCAATAATAATATACCATTTCAGCTGCACTGTATTCTTGGTATGAAGAATACCGCGTGATGGATTTTTCGGTAGCAGGAGTAAGGACTGCTATTACCTGTATAGCTCCAGCTCCTAGGTAAGGGTTGTATTGTTGTGGTCTATACAAGTAATATGTCATACATTTTATAAAGTTTTCTACTAATCTGTGTACTATCCGATTGGTTTACAGACTATTATCCAGTTGGGAAATGCCTTTAATGCCTTTTACGTGGTACATGTGGCTTGCTGTAGTTTTCACTTATTTCTATGCGTCAACTGGAATTTTAACAGCGCAGGGTTGTAATTCATCGTCGTATCCATTTTTAAATACTTTTGGTATGATGATTGGGCAAGTAAGTTTTGTAATTTTTAAATCAAATAAAACTAAGTAATAACAAGCCTAGCTAGGGACCGGGCACTAGTAGGATCTAGTAATATTAATTAATCTAAGGGTGATCTAATCACTTTCCGGCAAAAGAAAACTTCATTTTTAACAATAATGATTTTACATTCAGTTAGGTATCCGTTACGTAGCCTGTGCGTACGTGGCGATGACTGATTCATACACGAAATGTACTTTACTCAAGTAGGTAACTGTTGAACTGTGAAGTAGACTTGAATTCAGGATCCATATCCATTTGTAGTGTAAATATTTTTAATTTATAGTTTGTAATGGTATGCACATGTAGGTAGGATCTTAAAAAGCGATAGATACCTAATTTTATATAGGTATGTATGAGCACAAAGATTCGATGTAAATCATGAGGTCATTCTATCAAAAAGTTATGAGGCAGAAAGCCAGATTAAATGTTGGGGTTTTTCAGTCTCAATACGAAGGTAAACCTTCCTGGAAGATAAGAAGTGTCACTGGTTGGTTGTTGATAGCGGGGCTGATTTTGAGCAGTGCGTATGGAGCTGGTCTGGCGTCCACGTTCACAGTTCCTAGATATGAGCCATCGATTGACACGGTACAAGATATCGTTGATAGGAAAATGGAATGGGGAGCTACCCATGATGCCTGGATATTTTCTTTGACACTGTCAACCGAGGTTGGTAGCTAGATATAATAAAGTTTATAAAATTAATCTTAAACGGCCCAATTCAAGCTTATTATTTAATTTCAGCCGTTAGTAAAAGAACTAGTGAGCCAGTTTCGGATTTATTCATTTGATGAATTGAAAAGAAAAAGTTTTACACGGAGCATGGCATACAGCATAGAAAAATTGCCGGCAGGTAAATATATTTTTTTTTTTTTGTATACACCCTAGCTAATGTTAGTTTGTTACCTACCAACAACAACAACTTAATATTAAGCATAATTAATTACCTACACAGTTTGGGAACATGGCCGTATGAAGAAGGACGTCGGTCAACATGAAGCTGGCGCGACCGTAGCTTAAAGTTTATTACTTACAATCATAGTTTAATTCAGACTCAAACAAACGAATATTGTATTTATCTTACAATAACACCTCATTATCTATCTGGAACTACGTTACAGGGAACTTCGCTATAGGCGAATACGTTACACAGGAAGCCATATTGGATATGATGGTGATGCTGGAAGATTTTTACTACGAACAGTGCGTCGTGATGATGAGGAAGAGTTCTCCGTACACCGAGAAAGTGAGTCAGCTTATCGGGCGCTTGCATCAGTCCGGACTTCTACTAGCTTGGGAAACTCAGGTATACGTTGGAAATAATATAGTTAGTAACCCACTGATTGATTTCAGAACCTGAATGAACTAAGTAGGCCTATATTAATCACGCACTTAAAAAAATTATGAACCTGCTGACTATAATAATTAACTTATTTCTCTTTTGTTAAAAGAAGACACGAGTTTGATGCTTATTATTCGTCAAAGTATGAAAAGCTATTGTTGTACATACCTACCTAACGATACGCAAATGCGTTGATTCACGTGATTAAGGCTTTATTTTTCCAATAAACATCTAGGTATTGTTTTTTTTAGGTTGCCCTAAAACATTTAAATTACAAAGTTCAGGTTGAGGTGAGGTTATCCAGAAGTAAAAACGACGTTGGGACTACAAAGGCTTTGAATCTTGGAAATGTTATGGTACGTAGGTGCTAATACCTAATAATACTTGTGTGATAGTATCGTAAACTTAAGTAAATATTAAAATGTTGACCGACTTCTTAAATATGGTAGTGTTTTCAACTCGGCCGGTATGTTTTTATTCCTGTTTTTGTGTATATGTATATGATGTATACTGATTATACTGAGGTTTATGGACTGACCTGCGTGATTCTTTTTTGTTCGATGTGGAATAGCTGCTATTTGGCCCCATAAAAATTGTTTCAGAACTTTCAATTTGATGAACATTAGGTACCTATAATAGTTACACTTTATTTGTACCTCAATATCTTAAATATTTGTTAAGTATCTTTTTTTCGTGAATCTTTTTTGTTTGATAGGATGAACTTTCAAATTAGTAGATATCGTTAGATCACTTAGTCAGAATTTGATATGAGATCCAAAGGGAATGGAGGGTAAATCCAAAATTATTTATAAAAAGCACTACGTTTCTATTAATTTCATAAACCAGTTCCACTATTTAGGAACGTCTGATGAGGAGCTGATAATGGAAAGTACCTATAATTCCTCAACCGATATTTGGAATCGGGATTGAGATAGAAAATGGGGGATGAGGGATAAGGGAAGGTTGGCGTCAAGTAATCTTACTGACGACAAGACGAAACACAATCATTAAGTTTTCTGTGAGCCCGTGCCATTATTCTGGCCAAGTAGCTTATTCGAATTTTTAGAATCGGCAGATATAGGCTGATTTGGGAACGAACATTAAACCCATAATTCAGAATTACCGCTATTGAGCACGGACCTGTGAGATAGTTTGAAGTTTGTGTCATTGTATTAAAACATTTTTTTTTTGTTTTCAGGGCATATTTATTGTCTACGCGATTGGACTTATGGTTTCAATTGCGACATTTTTGGGAGAATTATATGCTTATCATCGCAAACAGAAGCAAGAGCGAATACATGTTGATTAAGTTACTATATATAATTAGGCTTAGGTTTAAGTACAAGGCTTTACAGTATGAAGTGGAAGTGTTTAGTTTACACTGCATAAAAAAACATTTAGAGATTACACTAAAAAAATAAAACAAAGTAGGTTATAAAATTTTTTAAAGAATAAACTAATATAAACGTAAATATTACTTTATTTTCTACAAACCTGATTTACCACATCCACATAGGAAGCAAAACGCTTGAAACGTTACTCAAATTAAAGTTTAGCGATCGCGTTATAAGTACAGTGTGTGAAATAATTAATGAAATGATGTGTTTGATAAAATTCAAATGAATAAAACATATTTTAAGTTATTATAACAGGACATTGTTCTAAAAAACTAGAGATTTAATAAAATGATTAATAATAAAATGACTTTAATTTGTTTTTATTTAAAATTGGCAGCACTAATTGTATCCGTTTGATTGCAAACTTTACTAGAATTGATGCAAATAATATCTAATACAAAGCTGTTTTGTTTCAAAATAAACCTCTTGAAAAAAAAAAAGTATTTCTTTATTTACTTTTCTACAACTAAATGGTTTTGCTGGCTGACTATATTATGTATTTGATTTACCTACCACCCTTATAATATGTTTTAATAAAAATATTTTGTAAATATTATACATTTCTTTACCGGGCTTTATCATGCGTAAATACTAAACTTCTAGCGTACGTAAATATTTAACTCTTCGGTCTTAAAAGCCTTTGTTCTAACTGACAGTAAAACCATAGACTATTTTTTTAGTCGAATCAAAATGTTGCAAGATTCGATAAAACAATCTGTACTATTGTGTTTAGTCGATTCCATTTCGCGGTTCGCCTCTCTTTAAACAGAGGGTGAGCAAGTGCGTCATCACCGATGTTTGTGTGGGTGCTGGCGGGAAAATCGATCGATACTTGTTTTAGTTAGTTGTTGCGGCGGGCGGACGTGCAGTCGTGTATCAATAAAACATTTACGAAAATAATGTTAAGTTAATACAAAGTGAACAAATTTTATTGTAAAAGGAAATATGGCTACAAATAAGCATTTGTTCTTGTGCCTCGCTTTCATAATATCTACATCGGCCGAATTTATTTGGAAACATCATAATAATGAACAACTACCCATAGTGCTTGAAGAAGTTCATGCAAAATGTCCCAATATAACAAGAGTTTATGCTTTATCTGAACCATCAGTTTGTGGTGTTCCTTTGTATGTGATAGAATTCGCTGACACACCTGGATTCCACCAACCATGTAAGGGAAATAAAAAATATAATAAATAACTTCGTTTTTGATAGTTAAATGTTTTGTGTTATACCTTCATGTTTGTTCATCAGATAAACCTGAAGTGAAATATGTTGGAAACATCCATGGCAACGAAGTATTGGGACGGGAATTACTTTTAGGCCTGGCTCATTACCTGTGTGATCAGTACAATAGCCATGATCGTCGAATCCGTGCTCTTATACATTCTACACGAATCCACTTGTTACCATCTATGAACCCAGATGGCTGGCAATTATCTACCGCTACTGTAAGTGACTACAAATAATAACACATATATTTTATTTATTTAGATAATTGATATCAATATCAACAAATCACATAAAGAATAAATAACTATGTCTTATTATTTACAGGGAGCATTAGATTATCTTATTGGCCGCACCAATAATCATTCAGTGGATTTAAATAGAAACTTTCCAGATCTAGATGCCATTACATTTGAATTTGAACGTCAAGGTATCAACCATAATAATCATTTATTGAAGGACTTGACCCGTCTTGCTGCACCGGTAAGACATTTATATTTTTAATGTAACATAATTATGCTTACGAAATTAAGAAAGGCTAAGATGTTTTGTTCAAAATTGTTCTACTAAGTCATATTTTGAATTTATTTTAGCTGGAACCAGAAACCAGGGCTGTTATGCGCTGGATCATGTCCATACCATTTGTGTTGAGTGCCGCAATGCACGGAGGTGATCTTGTAGCTAATTATCCCTATGATGAGAGCCGGAGTGGGGCTCCTGTTTCAGAATATTCAGCCAGCCCCGATGATGATACATTTAGGTATAAAAATATATACATTTTATTTGAATCAATAAAAATAATCATCACTCTAAAATTTCTTATATTTTATTTTATTAAAGCATATTAAATTTAATGATTGGACCATAATACTTCATGAAATATTTTACTATTACTTGCCTACTATTAAAACTATGCACATAATTAATACTAGCTAAGGAGAAAGCAAACTTCCTGTTAATTAATTTGTACATGATTTACAACTAGGAAACTTCGTTTATGGCAGTGTTATGTTGTAGGGAGTTAGCTATGACATATGCGTCAGCTCACGCGGACATGGCTTCAGCAAACCGTCGCGGCTGTCATACAACCAGCTCTGATGACTCAGCTACTTACAATTTCGGGAAGCAAGGAGGTGTCACTAATGGAGCAGCTTGGTACAGTCTGAAAGGAGGTTAGTATCTAGTAGTTATCAGTGTAATTACCTAGTGGTGGGCAAACTAATTTATGTTACTTTTTTATACTTATCAATTCAATTGCCGACTGCCCTTCGAAATAGAAATGAAGGTATACATTTTATTGTTTAATAATGTACAGCAAACCTTTTTTACCATCAACTCTTGTGTCTAATTTTTTAAACATACTTTTTATTAAGAAGGGTATGAGTATTCGTTCGTTCGTTCATATAGGCAATTAGCTGCCGGCTGCCGTCCACAGCTTCGCACACGTATAAAAGCAATGTATCCCGTTATTTTAAAAACAGCAGCGTTTAAAGCGTTAGCTCGACTTAAATACGCAAATTAATTATAATTTATAGCCTATCGCACTCAGAAACATTATAGCTATGTATAAGTGAAAGAATTTTGGAAATCCGACGAGGCAGCGGTTCTAAAGATTATCCTCTACGCTACGTACAAATTTACAAACACCTCTTTATAATTTTACCTAGTATAGATAAAGAATTGGCGAAAAATCGCCAAAATGATGATAACTTAAATAAAATCAATTTCATCCGTCACTTTGGCAATGTATTTAACATTCCGAGCGACTTAGCTACAATCTGCAAACATTAAAACCAGCCTCAGTCGACCAATTGCACATAAACAAATATTCCTAAACTTTAAGTAGAAGAACATAAGTTATATTCAATCAAGTATAATATTTTACATCACATGTTTGGTGGCCTTCAAAACAGGAATTGATGATGAGGATAGTCTAGTTTAAGTAGTTAATGTAAATGTCGTACAGTGGCCGTATAGAAATAGACCATTTCGTATAGTAAGCATCCTATACATTTTTCTATGGGCTTTTATTTTATTAAAATGAATATTACACCTTACAAATAACTAGAAAAAATTTTATATTTCGAATGTAGTTCTTCTAAATCCTGAAATTGATGGCGACAAAAAGTTAAACGTACCTACCACAGGATTGGTTTTACAAGTTCCTTGAATAAAATCTTGTATAACAGAGAGAACTGTTCGACGATGCTTTCCTTTTTCAAAAGTAACGTGTCGTACTTACGTAGGAAGTCGTAGAAGCAGGAAGCTTAAGCAATTGATCACTTGGTACGTACTGGTATTAACATTTAACTGAAGTTGACCATGAAACACGGTCGGCTTAGCAATGCTAATTTTAGCCGCATTGTTTTATGATTTTTAATCATAACAATTGTATCGAGCACGCGACGTATTCTAGACAATGTTTAAAGAGCGATTAGCAATGGATGTCACATGGTTAAAGTTAGTTATTCAACAATAGATCCAAAGAAATAGATGCGAGAACACTTATTTGCTTGTTTTTAAATGACCTATTGTGTTAAGAACGAATACGTCTGGTTCGATGTCTAGAGGTCTAAACTAGAAACTGTTTTGTCTGGTATTATGTATATTCCTATGATTGTACCATTATTGTATTTCGATCGATTTTCAATAGATTAGTGAAAAACCCTTTCATTATTCGGTTTTTAATTTTTCCCGCATTGCACCTTTACATTCTTTACTGTGTCGGGACTACTTAATAAGTCGATTGACAATAAAAGAAAAAGAAAGCCGCCTGCTTTCTTTCTTAAAAAAAAGAAACCAGCTTGCTGCAGCATGCAGAAAAATATGGTCACCCTGCTCAAACAGAGTTCAAAGCAGTACAAGTTTTATATCAGTCTTCAGTACAAGGGTCATAGAGGGGAGTAGCGTTTAACGCTTAATGTAGGTCTTCTAATAAAATGCATACCTATGTATTGACAGGTATGCAAGACTTCAACTATCTCGCTACAAATGCGTTTGAAATCACCCTCGAACTTGGCTGCGACAAATATCCTCCTGCAAGTGCTCTGGCCAAGGAATGGGAGAGAAACCGTGAAGCTTTGCTGGCGTACTTGTGGAAGGCACATGCTGGAATCAAAGGAATAGTGTCTGATGACTCTGGGTTCATTCAGAACGCTATCATATCTGTAGTCAACATCACCGGACCTATCCCAAGACCTATCCGCCATGACGTCACCACAGGTAAGATTTTGCTCCGAGTCGTTTACTTATATTTTTATTTTCATATTTTACTCAAAGGTAATGCGTGGACTGTGACAAATTCTGTAATTCCGTAAAAAAGGAGATTAAAGTCTCAATATCAGTTATTTCTTTTTAAATAACTTATGTTACTACCTTCGTGTTAATTTCTTTTTTAAACTAACTCTTTATCACTGATAATTCTTCTGTGCCGTTAGTTTGTTAGCTAACGCAAACACACTTAGATACGGAACGCCAAATCTCGATGTCTTAAATTGTTGCCACATTTTGTAATAAAATAAACATTATTGCACTACCGAGCCCAGAATCTACGAGAACAATGCCCAATCAGATGGAATACATCCAAATAAAAAGGTGGTTTGCAATTTTGGACATTGTAGCAAACAATATTCGTAGATAGCAGACAGGTCATTAAAGTTGGGAGAATAAAGTGTGTTTCCCA